TGGGGGGGGGGGGGTTTTAATTTAATTTTTTTAAAAAATTTTTTTCAAAATTTTTTTTTTTTTTTTTTTTTTTTTTCCAATCATTCTTTATAATTTCAAAATAACAGAATCAAATAATAATACTTTAAAAAAAAACTATTAAAAAAAAAAAAAACTTATTAAAGGCGGAGATTATATGGATGAGCCATTAAAAGCAACACAAGCTTACCTCCAATCGGGTTAGAAATTAAAAGAGATTGGACACAGTGATTGGTATGAAAAATATAGAAGCTTTAGAAAGTGGCCCACAATAGATACTCCTGCCACTCCTGACACCCCTGCCACAGTTGAACGTGTAAAAGATTGTTTGAATTAGTATAAAATGAAAACCCTCTTTTAAGAGCTTACCAGTTAGTCTATTCAATTCTTTTAACAATAATTTTCAATCAACTAATAAATAAACAAATAAAATAAATAGATTAATATTTTTATCTAGAAATTTAAATAAATATAAAATTATTTTATATTTTTTTATCAACAAATTTTTTTTTTTTTTTATAAAAATTTTATTTATTATTTAATCATAAAAATAAATATTTATTTTATTATATTTTAATTTAGTAATGTATTTTATAAAAATATACAAATATTAAGTACTTAAGAAGAAAGGCTGGTTAAAATCTATTAGAAATAGTTCCTTTAAAGTATTTGGAAACATGCATGTTTCTAAGGGTACATTATCTTTGAATAGATTTAAATGGTAGCTGATATTTGATCTTATATATTTATTAGGAAATACCAAAAAAACAATCTATCTTTATTATTATTATTATTATTATTATTTATATCATCCATTTCGAATTACAATATAATTTCCATTCAACAATTACAAAACAATATCCAAATCAATAGAGATTATTATCAAAGGCTATGTTAAATAATAATTTAAATAAAATATTTAAATAAAATAAAAAAAATTTAAATAAAATAAAAAATATGTATTTTAAGACCCTTTTTATATTCAAATAAATATAAAATTATTTTTTATTTTTATTTTTTATTTTGAAAAAAAATTTTATTTTTTTTATTTTTTTTATTTTTTTTAATTGAACCATTTAAATAATGTAACCTTAATCAAGAAATATAGTGAAGTTTAAACCCAATCTGGGAATCTATCATTCCTACTTTCAGTCCAAACAATATCTATTTTATTTATTATAATTAATAACCAACCATCCAGGGCAATTTCCAATGTTCAACACCACCAAAACTAGTATTAAAAAATAATCTCAATAAGTAAATTTAAAACAGTTATCAAAAAAAGTAAATAATTAAATAAAAAATATATTAAAAATATAATTTTATTTTTAATATATTTTTTATACATATAATAAAATTAAAGTAATAAAAATTTAATTTTTAGAAAAAAAAGAAAGTTTTTAAATGATTCAAATTGACATCTTGAATCTCACCAATCTCATTTACAAATGCAAAGTGTATTACTGCATCGATAATTGTAATGTTTGAGTCTGATCATTTAATTCATTGTGAACTTTTTTATTAAACAGTTTAACTACTTTTTTTAATATACTTTAAAACAATGGCCATTCCTGAAAATTCAACAAGTTCTACATTATTACATCCATAGTTGTATTTTTAGTGATTGTTTGTCATATAATCATTTGGGGTTAATTGTATTAAATCTACACTTTGATGATCTTGGTTACAATGTAATTGTTTTAATTTGTTTTTAATTTGATGAACATAGTTTTCATCTCTTAAAAATTATTAAAGGGCAATTATTTTTTTTTTTTTTTTAAATTAATTTTATTTATGATTTTTATTATTATATCTATTGTCAAATTCGGTTATTGTTTTAAAAATAAAATTTAATTTTTCATTTGAAAATGACCATTTTGAAATGTGTTGTTTTACATAATTTATACATGATCCTTGATTTAATTCTTGACTAATTGCAGACCAATCACAAACCATCTCCACTATATCAAGCACACTCATTTCATTTGGGTCACTATGCGACTCTGGATGGTGTCTATTACAATGTAAATGATGATCGCAACCCTCTTTAACTAGTTTCTCAACTCCATCGGGATACTTGAAATCTATATTACAGTGTTTACAATGATGGTACCATGTTAACCAAATATATGGTTCTATTTCTGGTGGCTCATATTTTGATGCATCATGTAAATCCCCTCTTTCCTTTAATTCTTTTTTTGATAAATTACAATAACCCTCCATTAAAGACATATTATTAGTAACCATCTCAATGTGTTGTTTTGTTCTATTAAAAAAAAAATCTTTCATTTCTTGGGAAATATTAGTACTTAAGTTTTCTATATTCATTCTAAAATTAATAATATTTGTAATAATACAAATATATTATTTAACACAACCCACACACAATAATAATAATAATTTAATTAATTAAATAATACAAAAGATTTTTTTTTATTTTTTTTTTTATTTTTTTTTTAAAAAAAATTTTGATTTTTTTTTTTTTTTTTTTTTTTTTTTAATTTTTTTTCATTTTTATTTTTAAGCTCAGATCAAAAAAACAACACTATTATTAGTTTATTTAATACAGTGCATTCATACATAAAATTCTTCACATAAAGTATAAAAGTACAAAAAAATTTATAAATAAAATAATAAAAAAAATAAATAAAAAACACTTTAACATAATTCAATATAATAATAATAATAATAATCTACACCTTTTTTTTATTAGTTTTATAAATAAAAATGATTAATAATATGTACCACAATAATAATAATAATAATAACAATAATAACTTTATTTATCAAGATGATGAAAATGGAAATATAACACTTATAACAACCCCTTCTAAACCCAATGGAGGTAAAATGAGAATGTCTCATTGTAAAGCGACCATTTTAACAGCAGATATAGGTAATGAAATTAGAGAAGTTTGGAACCACAACTTAGAGTATGAAATGTCACTAATAAGAGATATAGTCGATAGCTATCCGTGTGTAGCAATAGTAAATATTAAATTACACTTTATACTATTTTTTTTACAAAATATTTACTAATTTTATTTTTGTTTTTTTTTATTTTATTTAGGATACAGAATTTCCCGGATTTGTAAATAAACCCATAGAATCAATGAGAATGAATCCAGACTACAACTATCAAACATTAAGATCAAATGTAGATTTATTAAAGATTATACAATTTGGTATTACATTTTCAGATGATAAAGGCGAACTACCACATCCATCATGCACATGGCAGTTTAATTTTAAATTTAGTCTAAAAGAGGATATGTATTCACCCTATGCCATAGAATTATTAAAGAGTTGCGGTATCGATTTCCAAAGAATTGAAGATAATGGTATTGACGTCAACGACTTTTCAGAACTCTTTATATCATCAGGAATTGTTTTAAACGAAAAGATCAATTGGATTTGCTTTCATGGGGGTTACGATTTTGGTTATTTATTAAAGGTTTTAACATGTACAGATTTACCAAAGAAAGAATCAGAATTTTTTGATCTCTTAAAGATTTATTTCCCATGTATTTATGATGTAAAGTATTTAATGAAAAGTTGTAAAAATTTAAAAGGTGGTTTAAGCGGTTTAGCTGAAGATTTAAATGTATGTATATAGATAAATAGAAACATATAGTAAAAACATCAATATGTTTGATACTAATTATTTAATTTTATATAGGTTGTCAGAAATGGTCCACATCATCAAGCGGGCAGTGATTCTTTATTAACAACATCAACATTTTTTAAATTAAGAGAAGAGTTTTTGAAAATGAAATTCATGATCATAAATATAAAGGTATTCTCTATGGTTATAA